GGGGGGGGGCTGTAGCTGGCCAGACACCCTCCCTCCCCCAGGTAGGCTTTCAGAGGCCGCCAGACGGTCCTCCCCGCAAGCAGCTTCCTGCAGGTGGCCCCTTCCGTGCCAATTTGATTTTCCTTGCAAATCCATAGCTGAGGTTCCACAATCGGAGGGGGGGGGGATGGACTCACGCTGGATGGAACAAGGAAGGAGCAGCTATTTTGAGGCAGCCCAGAAAGGCGGCTTTCTTCCTGGCACCAGGCAGGACCTGGCCGGGGGAGAGGGAGGCTGGAAATAGCCGCGTGCGGGCCCTGCCCAGCCCCGCCGGGGCAAAGGCGTCTCCTCTCGCCTGCAACACGAGCAGCCCGTTGACTTGAATGGAATGGCTGGAACCCCGCACGGCGCAAAGACGTCGGTGGGTGCTTCTCCCGGGCCAGAGTCGGCTGCTGCTTATCAAAAGTTTAATTTCCAAAGCACTTTACAACCACCGTTTCGTTCACTATCAGCACAAGCATTAAGCCAGATGGAAAACCGAGGCTCACTGGCAGCACCTGCCCCAGGCCACACAGCCAGAGAATGAGTGCTTACACCCCCCCCGCCCCCAGTCCAGGCCCAGCTTCCTTAGTTCGCTCCATTTCTATGCTGCCCAAAAGCCTCCAGGTTGCTAAAATTATCTCGGGCCACACGAGGCTGGTGGCGTTAAGAGACACTTCAGCACATAAATGCGCTTCCCCCGCACGGCTGCCCATTGCCAAGACAGACGCTGGAACTGGCGTCACCCCGGTTGGCTCTGCAACTGGAGGAAATGCCAGCCTTCGGAAAAAGCGTGTCGTTCCCGGAAGGCAGTAGTGACGCGCCGCCGACGGATCCTCCTCACGCAGGTGGAGCAAGCCGAGGCGGTGCTGGGACGGCCTGAGCCCCACCCGGCACCTGCCACGATGCAGACGTGGCCCTGCCCAGCTGGGGGAAGATGCTGCCGCCGCCCCAAAGGAGGCTTTCGCCCCCTTCCCCAGAGGGCCCTCTGATGCTCCCGGCAGATCCGCCACATTCCTGAGATGCAAAGCAGGAGCGGACCAGGCATGGCACGGGGGACGGAGGGGCACGCCTGGCTCTTGGAGCCGAGAAAGGGGTGGCTCTGAGATGCGTGGCGGAGAGCCCCCGCTGCATTTCTGCTCGTTCCCCGTTCTGGGGACAGCGCCACGGAGCCCTTGGGCGAGGGGAGGACTGCTCCAGCCGTGCCTGAAGGAGCGCCCACTCCCCCAAGCGAGCGGCAATGGCTAGACTAGCACAGTGACTCAGTCACAGGCACAAGCTGCCTTCCTTCCGGCGGGGAAGAACCCTTGGGCTCATGAGGAACCCTTCGCCGCAGCACATGCTTGCCCGGCCCACAGCCTGCGAGGCAGAAGCGAGCCTGTTTGTGTTCCGCCAGATCGGAGGCGAGGCCGTGCTCTTCCCTCGCGGCTCCTGCTCTTTGGGGATGGGGGAGAGAAGGGCCTGCTGCGACATGACTGAGGTCATGGCCAGCGGGGCAGTACAGAAGAGCCTCCATGCCTGCTGTCTGCCGCCAGCCGCCGCAGCAAGGCCCTGCTCCGCCCCGAGCGCCCACACATCCGCTCCAGCGCCCCGTTAAACAGTGGCCTGCCTCTGGGAAGCTCCCACAGCAGGACGGAAGGCGCTTTTCCCTCCCAGAGTCCAAGCTGCTACCTGGAGGGCAACTGCCTCTGAACGTAGAGCCTCCAGGCCGCCGTTCTAAGAAGGCGGTTCTGCCTCCGTGACTTGGCCGATAGCTGCTTGGACGGGCCCCAGTGAGGCCGTCTCACCCGCGCTTTGGAAAGAGGCCCCCGCCCGTGGGGCTCGCGGCGCCTGCTCAGTGGGAGCCGCCGCCGCCGCCGCCCAGCATACCCGGCCGCAGCAGCACCGCCTTCCCACACAGCCCCTCCCGCAGCCCCCCTGCCGGCACGATGTAGACCTTGCCGTCGGCCGCACGCTTGGGGCTGAGCTCCGTCAGCTGCGCGTTGCTGCCCTGCACCTGCGCGTAGCTCCACAGCTGGTACCGGCAGCTCTTGCCCTGCTTCGCCAGCAGGTACGTCTCGGCCACGGCGTCCGGGGGGAGAGGCAGGACCGGAGGGCTGGTGTGGAAGAGTCCCGGGATCTCCTCGTCCTCCTGGCAGGGAGGCAGGCGGACGTCGCTCTGCAGGCCGAGGAGTGCCCCTGCGGAGGGAGAGCGCCTGCTGGGCATTCCGCACGCGTGGGCATCAGGAGCCTCCCCTCTGCCAGCGCCACCCCGGTGCAGCCCCGCTGCCAGCAGGCCACCCTTGGCCCACCCGCGCCCGCTGTGCTCGCGAGCCCGTCCTCCTCACCCGCAGGGCCCCCCGTGGCCCGCTGTGCACTGCCCCGCAGCCACGTTCCCAGGGCCGGGCAGCAGTGCTGTGGCAACACCACCAGAATGTACTGCTGTGTAATAAGAGCATCGGTGGGCAAAGGGGCGTCCGGCTCAAGAGCCTGCTGGATTTTACAGCTCTTTTATTCCGCTTAACTCAAAAATTTGGTTTTGCTTGCAAGAAGTGCCCAAACCTAACTTGAGATGCTAGGAGGAAATAATGCAAATAGCAACCCTGAACGCGTCAACTTCCCAGAACCCTTTGTTAGCAGGAACCTCGAGGAGATGACACGAGACCCAAGAAGAGCAGCTGGCCTCTCTCCCAGTTTGGGTAAGGAATGCTGAAGAACTCCAACTCCCTTCATCCCTGACCAGGTCTACGATGGCTGGGGCTGATGGAAACTGGGGTTCCTCAACATCCCCATCCCCAGCTGAAAGGCACAGAAGGGAGGAGATCCTTCGGAGCATGGGCCCAGATAGGAGATGCTCTGACAGGTCCCCCCTGGAAATGAGCCTCGAGCACCTGGACTTGAGACAGCCGTGCCAGGGTATCCATGCAGGCCCCAACGCTTGCCTGCCCCCTCCCTGAGTGCAGGGGGTCGCTGCTCCCAGGCCACCACCAGGGCAGCTCCCTCAGCCCAGGAATCAAGCCCAGCAGCTCTCGCCCTGTTGTGGGCCAAGCTCTCCTCCTCCCCGGAGGGAGTTTCCTTTGCCAGGGACCAAGTGCGGCTCCCAGCCCCCTTCCCCCCACAGGGGACACGGGGCAGCAGGGGGTACCTGAGGCAATGGCCCAGTGAGCCTTGTAGCCCCGCCTGAGGCAGGGCTCATGGTTGGAGTCTTCATCGTAGCTGAGCAAGATGTTAAGGGCAAGCCAAAAAGACTCTCACTCAGACCCGAACGGAGGAAAAGGAAGTTGAATGCCTGGGAATGCTGGTGAAGGACCCGTGCGGCTGATGGAAAGTGGAGGAAAACCAACCATGGAGAAAGGCAGTCCAACCCTTTCTCTTCCTCCTTTGTCTTCCCGGAAGCCTTGAGCAGGGAAGGAAACATCAAAGTTGTCCACCCCACGTTCCATTGAGAAGGATACGGTATCAACACAGGGAAACCGGCACAGAGATGCTGAAGAATCCTTTTGTGGTTTTCCCCCTCCAGGCCTCCAGAAAGCAGCTCTGTTTTGCAGCGGAACGCCACCTCGGCTAGCTTGGCCATGTCGGCAGCTGAAGTGGGCACAAGCAGGAGAGGAAGGTGGTGCTGGAGTAGCTACCTAACTGCCCCTGGGCAAGCCCCCCGGCCTACATCTTGCTTCATACAGGCAGGTGGAGCCTGTGAGCAGCCAGACCATGGGCAAAATGTTTCGAGGTTTTGTCCTCAAGAAACTAAAATAGGCACAATTTTGGCAGATATACAGGGCACATTCACTGCCGTTTCTCCGCTACCCACCTGAGAACATTTCCCCCTGAGCTGTGTAGCCTTGCTCCAAAGCCACCTGCACAACCCTCTCCAAGGAAACAGCTGCGGGCAAGGACAGCAGGGCGCTGGCCATCCACAGGGCCACCAAACCACACCTGGAGAAAGGAACAGCCGGAAAGGTCGCGCTGTTGTCCAGACAACAACTGTCTGCAAAAAACTTTCAATCTGCATTTATAGAAAAAAACCTGCTTATTCTATTAGGCCTGCTTGTTATTTTGCATAACTTTTTCTGCTGCATGGAAGTGAGGAGGGGAGAATAAACAGTGATGCTGAACATGTATCCACCCCCTCTAAGCACTGCTCTGTGTCTGCTTCCAGCTGGAGCAAACACTCACCATGTACTTTTTCACACTCTCTTTGTCACCCTCAAGCGTCAGAAACTTAACTTTAACTAGAAGAACGGCAACACTGTGAGGAAGCTGCAGTCAGTACCTGCTGCTGCTTTCTGCTTGCTACGATGCACCTGTAGCAGATTCTCCAGACTGTAAGCAGTGCTGTATTTTCACTGGCAGAACAAACCTGCCCATCCTCATCTCCTTGCCCAATGCATTTCTCAAGACTTCTGGAAGGATGTGATACAATGCTTTGTGTTCTGTGAAGCACTTAACACTAAATGGCTACCAAGCCTAGGGTGGGGGCCAGTGCTGCTCAAGCTAGGCATGGGACACGCACATGGGAGGCATGCCATGAGCGGCGCCAGCTGGAGCCGGGGGTCAGACTAGATGGCCCGGGAGGCCCCTTCGGACCCGCGCTGTTTCGGCTTCCCGCCTACTCAGTTAGCAGCAACCACGCATTTTGCTTTTGCGGTAAAGAAAAGAAAGCAGTACTCACTGGGGCCCGTCCTGGATTAGGGAGGGGACGGGGCTGTTGAAGAGAAGCCACCTTAGCTGCCCACTGAAGCTGGAGCGCGGGAGAGAGAGGAAAGCCGGCCCTGAGCGGAGCGCCGAGCCGGGGGCCGGCCGCGGCCGCGCCTTCTCCCCGCGCGCAGCAACGCGGCTCCGCGCCTCTCCCCCGCGGGCCGCGCCGCCGCCGCCGCCGCCACGCACCTGCCCGCCCTGCGCCGCAGC